CTACCATAGCTGTAGTGCAACAATTATTTACGATGGCATTGAATTGATTCCCTTATCGGATTGGTTGGTTTAAATCATTCTATTAATATGCAAAACAGCTTCAATTCAGCACTTAAAGATTTTTTTTTTCTTTTTTTATTTGATAATCGGAGTGTCTGGACCAGTTTGTATGCATCTCAACTAATCTCCAGAATCTATTAAATACCTACAAATCTAATTTTTCAATTTCAAGAAACCATATATATGATAAATGACTCTAAGATGGTTTGAGCACGGGAAGTCAATGAAAGTTAACCCTTAGGTTAATTATGATTTATTTTGATAACACTATTGGAATAATAAACAGTAGGATCTGTTTTATAAGGAAAATATTTTGTTTGTCAAATATAAGGCCTATAATATCTTGTTTTTAATTTATATATGTAATCTGTGAGTGACAAATAGATTACAGATAGCACTTGTGGAATCTATTATTTAATATATAAAGAATTTATATATTATTATTTGACTATCATTATGTCTGCTTCAGTGTAATTATACATATGTTATTAATTTGTCAATTCACTTGTGCTGGCAAAACCCATCTCATTTCAATGTTCACTCACATGTAACTAGTGATTTGGTTAATTACATGTCACTCCTTATTACAATCACTTCCCTCGAGTTTCGTAAATATATAATTACTCTCATAAGTCATAATTGTAATGGGATTTTTTTTTTTTGTATCATTTAATTACCCTAAACCTTAATGGAAAATTTCTAATTACTTAGTGATTATGTATGTTTTATGCATAAATTCCTTGGACTTATAAGATCTAAATAAGTGAATATAATTATGAGATAATGTACTAATCATTTATAAAGATTAATTGGGGTATGCAAAAACTAAGTCCAACATTTTGTTAAAGGAAAAAAAAAAAAAAAAAAAGATTTTGTTATGTATGATCGAAATAGAAAGACTTGCGTGTTGGTCAATGGTTTGTCACAGCTCACAAAGTTACTGATCAAATTGTCCTGATGCGCTCGATTAAATTTGAAAATGATACACATTTGTCTAATAATTTTTTCCTTAGCACTAATTATTTGATTAGACTGCTTATTCAAAAGCTAATCATATAGAGCCAATTTCTCGTTTTTTCAAGTGGTTGTCATTGTCTAATAATTAACTGTTATTATTAATCAATTAATCTGCTTTTCATCAACTAATAGTCTAATACCAATTGGTTATATATTTTCCTTTCATATAAAATCCACCATTATCGAATTCAATTAAGAGGCATCATTAGATAGCATAGAACTGAATCATAATAAAATGAAATTTAAGTTGACTAATGTGAATGGACAATGATTAGACTGACTTTGTAGTTTCACAAAGTCTTGGGACATATAAAATTTAACAAAGGTAGATCAGATATCAAATCAAACAGTGTAAATGAATGTGAAGATGGGCAGAGTTTTCACACTTTGGTATGGCCGTGGCTTTCTATGGAGAGATTGATTGTTGCAAATTTTTTTAATTTTTTCTGATTGCCAGGTTGTTCAAAATTGATTGCGTTTACCAAAAAACAGGGGATAAAATCATTTGATTTTAGTGTTGCGGATATGTATGTCCAACTTGTCTTGTTAGGTACATGTACATAATATTTTGCTAAGTTGTGGGACAAGTCACAGATTTTGATATCAATCATAATTCATAAAACCCATATAAATACGTATTTTCTCATAAATTAATTACATATTTGAAATCGAAATTATCCATAGTTGAGTTGTTGACAATGAAACAACTTATCTAAGAGTTTATTTATTTGTAAGAAAATCTTATTTAAAGTCATAAACACGATTGAATTATTGGTTGTATTTTAAGAAGGCTTGTAGGATTTTAAATAAATTATTTTATGGCTTTTTGAGCTTCTCTCATTAGCTCTTTTGGAGCTTAATTAAATTGTTAAAATTTCAATCCATTCTTACATGTTAAAACCTTTTTCTTTTTGGTTAATTAATATTTGAAATCCTTTTTAAAATTTTGTCACCAAACAATTTAAAAAATTATATTTTTATAAGCTCAACTACTCTTCTATAAACTCTACTCATAACCTAGCCAAACATTACCAGCAAAGCTTGAATTGAAAGTGTCAGCAGCCTTGGAAAAAGTAAGAAAATAGAAAAATTTTACGGACAGCGGATGTTGGTATGAAAATTTTGTACCGATCTATGTGGCATCTGACTCGGACGTGCCACGTAAGACATAACACAGGTATTCAATGAATGAACAACCGTCCATATCTTATGGACGACTGTTTACCACGAATGGACGAGAGTCCAGAAAATATCAATAAACTCNCTTTTTAAAAATTTTGTAACCAAACAATTTAAAAAATTATGGCTCCGTTTGGTTCACAATTTTGTGTTTTTGAGAAAAGTTTTTTGAAAAAGTTAAAAAAAAGTTGAATTGGGCGGGTATTACTATATAGGATTTACAAATTATAAAATACCCCCTATGTTTGTTTTTTTACAAAATACCCCATATAATAAAACATTAAAAGTTAACAAAAACACCCCCAACCCACCCTCAAATACGGACAGCTGGCCACCACCGCCGGAGGGTGGCCGAAGTCCCCATATCGGCGCATGACCGGCTGGATCTTGCCGGTTGTGCGCCGATATGGTCTTTTCCGGCCAGATCTACGGTGGATTTGGACGGTAAAGGCCAGATCTACGGTTAGATCTGGCCATTGACGGCCAGATCTGGCCGTATTTGCTATTCAACGACGGCCAACAAACGGTCGTCGTTGATGGTCAATGACGACTGTTTGTTGACCGTCGTTATCGACTGTTACGGCCAAAGATCTGGTCATCAACGGCCAGATCTTTGGCCTTAGATCTGGCTAGATCCATTGTGGATCTGGCCGGAAAAGGCTAGATCGGCACACTACTGGCCAGATTCAGCTGGTAGTGCGCCATCCTACCAGATTCCGGCCATTTTTCGGCAGTGGTGGCCGGAATCTGGTAAATGTGGATTGTTGAGGTGTTTTTGTAATTTTTAAAAAAAACATTTAGGGGTATTTAATTAAATTAACAAATTTAAGGGGTTTAAAAAAAGTTAAATAATATTGTGAGTTTTTGGGTATTTTACTGTTTAACTTTTTTGGGAATACTAAAAATAGTATTCTCAAAATCCAACCAAACGAAGCCTATATTTTTAAAAGCTCAACTACTCTTCTATAAACTCTACTCATAACCAGCCAAACATTACCAGCAAAGCTTGAATTGAAAGTGTTAGTAGTCTTGGAAAAAGGAAGAAAATATCCCACTTTAAAAGGATCCTCCATGAGAAAAGACGATTTTCATTGGTTCCCAAAATATCCCAAAAGCTTATAATACAAGCAAAAAGACAGTTCGCTTTGAAGATTTTCAGTTTTAGTGGAGAAAAACTCTCGTGTCCTTTCCTTTTTTTACTGGAAAATACAAACACTATTGCTGCACGCAAACTCTCTACGCCATCCCTTCTGTTACATATTAAATTGTACGCCATGTCTAAATTACCTTTTAGCTGTTAATATTTACTTTGAGAGAAANGTTTACCACGAATGGACGAGAGTCCAGAAAATATCAATAAACTCCTGTCCATATATTATAAATGGGAGTCCCTTTACTATGGACTGTCATCCATATTATATGGACGGCCATCCATATAATTTTAGATGAAATATTCATTTTTAAAGCACAAAATTTTTAGATGAAATAAAAGAAAAACAAAAAAAAAAACTTTGATTTTAAGTAAAAGTATGGACGCCAATCCATCTAATGAGAATGGCTGTCCATATAAAATGGACGGCCATCCAAATGAGTGGACTAGTGTCCATTCTCAAATTTTTTTTTTCATTTATAAACAAAATGCAAAGCAAGAGAGAAATGAAACCTGATTTTTAAAACTTGTTTTGGAAGGCCTAAATTTTTAAACATTCTAATTGAAAATTTTAAAGAAATTTTTTATTAAACTAAAATTTAGGTATGGACGGCCGTTCATCTTACACGGATAACCATCCATTGTACATGGACACCCGTCCATATAAGATGTATACTTGTCCATTATTTGTTTTTAAACTTTTCTGGACGGGTATCCATAAGATGGATATCCACTCATAGTAAATAGACATCTGTCCATATTATGTGTACGGGAGTCCATTGATATTGTCGTGGACGATCGTCAATTCGTGATGAACGATCGTTCATAATGTAAGGACGGCCGTCTGTGTAAGATGGACGGTTGTCCATTCACGAAATCAGTATTCTTACACGGTAAAACCTTTTTATTTTTTGTTAATTAATATTTGAAATTAAAAAAAAAAAAATTAACCAAACAATTTAAAAAATTATATTTTTATAAGCTCAACTACTCTTCTATAAACTCTACTCATAACCTAGCCAAACATTACCAGCAAAGCTTGAATTGAAAGTGTTAGTAGCCTTGGAAAAAGTACGAAAATATCCCACTTTAAAAGGATCTTCCATGAGAAAAGACGATTTTCATTGGTTCCCAAAATATCCCAAAAGCTTATAATACAAGCAAAAAGACAGTTCGCTTTGAAGATTTTCAGTTTGAGTGGAGAAAAACTCTCGTGTCCTTTCCTGTTTTTTACCGGAAAATACAAACACTATTGCTGCACGCAAACTCCCTACGCCATCCCTTCTGTTACATATTAAATTGTACGCCATGTCTAAATTACCTTTTAGCTGTTAATATTTACTTTGAGAGAAAAGAGGAAAAAAAAAAAAAAAAAAAAAATCTTTTGACCCACCAGACACATTGCAGATCAGACACACCCTGTGAGTCCTACAGTTTAACAACAACCTGTTTTTACTACCTTGCCTTCAGGCGAGTTCTGATTGCTAAAGTGTCCGGAAATTATTAAAAAAAAAAACAGAAAAAGAAATACTAATTAATCATATTTAAAAATTCTGATAAGATAAAAAGAGCAATCCTATCTTTACACGAATAATAAAATTAGAGTTTTATTAAAATAAATCTTGTGTTGGTTATGATTTTGTTGTACAAATATAGTAACTACTTTTACCTTAGCTGTAGAGATTGTTTCTACTTTCATGATACTTCTGTTACAGTCAGAAACAAAGAAAGGTTATTTATTTAATTTTATCGCAGCAATTGATGTGAATATATAAAACATCAATTTACTCATTATTGCATGCTTTTGTTTATTATTGTGTGAAGTGGGTATCTTGTGTTTTGGCTAATCGAATGGAGAGGTCGTATGTTCCTGTTGTTTTCCTCCTCTTCTTCTCTCTTCTCTTTCATGGAGGAATTGCCAGAGCTATGAGAAGAACCCAGCAGGATGGATCAGAAGAGTGGGGATACGTTGAAGTCAGACCAAGTATGCTAATCTATTTTCACAATAATTATGCGTTTTTCATTCATTTCATGTTTCTTTGCCGACAGTAATTGTTAAATGATTGATTTCTGAAACCAAAAACTGAAATGAAAATGTTGCCTTTTGTTGCGCAGAAGCACATATGTTTTGGTGGCTATACAATAGTCCATATAGAGTTGAAAATCCCTCCAAGCCATGGCCAATCATTCTCTGGTTGCAAGGTGGACCTGTGAGTATTGTTTAGAAGATGAAGCGTGAAATTAGAATTACTCAGTTTGAGATTTGAGAACAGCAGGAAAAGAAAGTTCATTTGTTGTTTAGGCAATAAAGTTTGTTGATTCTTTTCATTCTATACCAATATCTGAATATTGTTTGTTTCTTATATAATTCATTGTTATGAAATAGGGTGCTTCAGGCGTTGGGATTGGGAATTTTCAGGAGGTTGGACCATTGGACAATTATTTGAAGAGCAGGAATTCGACATGGTTGAGAAAAGCTGATCTCCTGTTTGTGGTGAGTTGGCCATGGCTAAAACTCTGTTTAATTTGAAGTAAAGGAGGATTAAATTTTGCAAAAAATATTCATTTAAAATGTTTTTTTGGTGTGATTCAGGATAATCCCGTAGGAACGGGATACAGTTATGTGGAGGATACAAATTCAAAATTGTTTGTGAAAACTGATGTTGAGGCCGCAACTGATTTAACTGCATTATTGGAGGAGCTTTTTAATAAAAATGAGACACTACAAAAGAGTCCTTTGTACATTGTGGCAGAGTCTTATGGAGGAAAATTTGCAGTCACTCTTGGATTGTCTGCACTAAAAGCTATAGAAGCTGGAAAATTAAAGCTCAAACTTGGAGGTTAACTGTTTTCTAAAAAGCTTTAATTTGCTTAGAAAATCGACAACTCTGCTTCTTTATTGATAAAATACTCTGTTTTGGCAAGCTGACCAATTCTGTTTTCTTATGTATAGGAGTTGCATTGGGAGATAGTTGGATCTCTCCAGAGGATTTTGTGGTAAGTTTTGTTTGATTTTTTGATTGATTTTAATATGTATTAACTTTCAATCTGGACTGAGTTTTAACTGAAATATGCAGCTTTCTTGGGGGCCTCTGCTTAAGGATGTCTCGCGGCTTGATAACAATGGCTTGGAGAAATCAAACAGGTCTGCATCACATATTTAACATTCTGTATAAACAATAGCGGCTGTAAATTTTCTGCTAAGTTAAAAATGATCCATTTTGGCAAACAGTGTGGCTCAAAAAATTAAGCAGCAACTTGAAGATGGTCAATTTGTCGATGCCACAAATTCATGGAGTGAACTTGAAGCAGTGATTAGTGCTAGCAGCAGCTCCGTGGTACTGTATTTTATTTTGTTAATCAAATTAATGACAACTGAATTGTGTTTTTATACACTGAATTGTTTTGCTTCAGGATCTTTACAACTTTTTACTGGATTCGGGTATGGACCCGCTATCATTAACAGCGGCAGAGTTATCAGAAAAAATTGCAATAAAAAGGTACTCAAGATACCTGAGTTACTTGAAATCTGCTACTCCTGATGGAGATGGTGATCTTGATAGCTTGATGAACGGCCAAATTAAAAAGAGGCTCAAGATTATTCCTGAAAATGTGACGTATGTTTTCTTCTACCTCTTAAAATAAATAGAAATCGAAGTGAATGGATGACATTCTACTCATGATTTTTAATTATACTTTTGACAGATGGGGAGGGCAGTCAGGTTTCGTATTCACAGAGCTTCAAGGTGATTTTATGAGACCCAGGATTAATGAGGTACAACAGAAATTTCAAAAAAACTTAGTATTGGAATATTTATCATGATTTAATTGACATAAATAAGTATAATGCTTCAACTTGATTTATTCTTGAAGGAATCATACTCTCTGGAAATTTATGATTCCTTTTGTCACCACTCAAATGTGCACGAAAGGTCAACTATAACTCTTTTCATTTGTTTTAATACTGAAGTTAAAGATTCCATACTATCTTCTCATATATATATATAAAATGCATGGTTGCCAAACACATCCTTATCATTTTGGGTGCATTTGTGATATGGGTTTTTGTTTTATTTTTCATCAGATGATTCTATCTTTCATCTTACAGGTGGATGAGCTACTTGCAAAAGGGGTGAATGTCACCATATACAATGGGCAAGTAAGCCATTTATTATATTATAATCAAGAGTCCTTTTCAGGATAAGCATAAAACCTTGGAAAATGGGTTGCCGATATTCCTTTGGACCACCCAATTATCAAACCATTTTTCATTTTTTCTGGGTTAACTGGTATTGTGTTTATGACATGATTTTTGTGGTTAATTGTAGCTGGATGTAATTTGTGCAACAAAGGGAACTGAAGCATGGGTTGAGAAGCTCAAGTAAGACTTTACAAAATTATTGTTAATGTAAAGTTATTCATGTCTGTGAACTATGACTCAATATTAAGCCAGGAAACTTAGGACTCTAAACTTCTTTCAAAGATACGAAACTTGAGTTTGGACTAACTATTAGTTTAATGAGAAAAAAGGCATAATCTAAATAGGATTAGGAGAGTTATAGTTGTTATAGGATTAGAATAATAAAAGGCCGGGTAATAAAAAAAAGGTTTGCTACTTTTATTGACTTTTTAGGTTCAAATCACTTTGAGGTCATCTACCACATTTGTGGTTTACCTGAAACATTGGGTCTCGAGATTAGTTGAAGTACACATAAACTAACTCAAACACCTTGTTATATATAAAAAAAAAAAAAAAAAAAAGATAATAATAAATAATAAAAGTTTTATTTTAGTAGGAAATGATTAATTAAACTAAATCCTATTTGGACTCAGGTGTGGATAGCGGGTTGATTTCTTCTTGTTTTGTAAGCTTTTAATTTCTTATTTCTTCATAATGGCCGCAAACCTGAGGTTGGCAAAAGAACTAATATTGAAGGATTAATTGCTGGTGTTTTTCACAATAATTTGAATAAATATGGAGTAATTAATGTTGATATTAATTTGAGTAATAGGTGGGAAGGGCTGCAGAATTTTCTGAAAACAGAAAGAAGTCCATTATTTTGTGGGAAAGACAAACAAACAAGAGGGTTCACCAAGTCGTATAAAAATTTGCACTTCTATTGGATTCTTGGAGCAGGCCATTTTGTAAGTCAAAACTCTCTCTATTTTCTCTTCAATCTTATTCAATACTAACTTCACCTGTCACGTCTTCATCAAATCATCATAACATCATCAAATTTTTGTTTTTTTATACTGTAACATGTTTTCACTACTGTCGTGATCTTCATATAAATATAGCCTTGAAAAAAAAAAAATTTATCACGGTATCTTGCTAAGAACTCATGTTCATAAATCATAAACTACAAAATTATGAAAATATAATTTAACATATGTTTTCTCTGTGATTAAGTAAATATTAATAAAATTGTATATTCTAATGAATTTAACTGTGCTTTTGAAGATACATATTAATATTTTCCTTTTGAAAAGATAAAAAAAATAAAGAAAATCTAAATGAAGTTAATAAAATGTTTCTTTAATATGATCGGTTTTGATAGTGGGAAAGTTTTTGTAAAAGTTCTGTTGTATTATAGAAAAGTGATTTTTTTTTTTTTAAATCTGAAAATTCATTTTATTGGGTGAAATTTAAAAGTTTTTATTATAAAATGGATGCTAAAATAATTAGTAGATATATTTAATAATAAAAACAAATAGGTTGTTGTTTGAGTTTGATGTGAGGTGTAAACACATGGTGGGGACGAAATGTGTAAATTATGAAGTGATATCAATATCAAATGTAGTTCCAACTACAAAACTCAAGTAGCTTAAAAGCATATAGAAATTGAACAACCCACACACACCATCATTGAGTTGTAATATCTTTTTCTTTTCTCTTTTTTGTTTTAATTGTGAAGTGTATGATTGAGTTTAATGCATGAGAAAGACGGTATTTGCCATTAATTTTCAGAGTACTCATCCTGTTTAATTAATTAATGGAAAATAATATAAAATGCAGGTACCTGTTGATCAACCCTGCATTGCATTAAACATGGTGGGTGCAATCACAGACTCACCGGCTTCTGCCACTTCTACAACGTAGAAGAAAAGAAATGATGAAGATGACTTTTACTTTACAATTAGACAACAGATAAAAACATAGAGATTCTGATTCTGCAGAACACAGTCTGTCTCTCTTGTCGACAGACCAAGTAAATAAATGGGGGAAAATCAACAAGCAATAAACAGGAGGCAAAAGCTGCAAGGGAAAGAGTTAAAATTTTTATTATGACAGTACCGTTTTTTACATTTTCAGAATAAAGTGCCTGATTTCATTTTTACAGAATTAAGTTTTCCTAGTCAAGGGTAATAAATATTTAATAAACTGTATATCCAAATAGTCTTCAATTCAATTCAATTGATATTTGATATAGGATTAAATAAAAACCCCAAATTAATTAATGTTTTGTCCTTGAATAATTAAATTGGTAGAAACTTGATCAACCTTATATGATTCATGATTTCTTGTTTATGGAAAAAGAAATAAAGAATATATTGTTGAATTGTATATCTTCCAATACTGCCCGTGTAGATTAAGATAGCCTACTGGCCCTACTCAATTATCAAGGCAAACCATAAATTAATACATACAAATTACATAGATATTAAATATTGGTAAATAAGTAAATGTTGCTGTTACCACCGATTAATTGTACAATAAAGATGAACTCACAATTCAATCTCACAAACTTTTGTTCACAATCTCTGTTTTAAAAATCGGACCAGACCGGCCGATCCAACCGATTGGACTGGGACCCGAGGCCTTATCCAGGTCGGGTCACTCTTTTTAACTGTTTCAAGTTTAAAATATAACAAACACACCCCTGATTAATACGCATCAGTCCCTGAAGGTTTCAAATCTAGCAAACACACCCTCTGGTCAAATGCAAATCGGCAATGACCTCCCCTTTTCCTGCAACCTTCCACCTTCCCTTACTGTCGGAAACCACCTTCTAACTTTCTCCGGCGCTGTCACGCTTCATCTCCAGCCGTCGCGTGATGTTTCGTCGTCCACCTTCGCCGCGTGATTTTTCTTCCATTTCCCGACGTCGATCGGCCTTCTCCGGCATCGACAAGCTTCCTTAGCCACTGATCTACCTTCTCCCAAGCTGTCTTGCCGTTGTTCACGAAGATCCAGTCATCTCACCAGAAAAAGCCATTGCGACCATTGACTTCCACCACTGATTTGCCATTTTCCGACGATGCCTCTACTTGCTAGCTACCGATTCGCCCTTCCCATCATCCGATCTACCCTCCTTGGTGTGTCGCCACTGCTCTCCCAATCGATCGCCGATTTGCATTTGGCTAGGGCTGTGTTTGCTAGATTTCAAACCTATAAGGTCTGATGGTATTTATCAGGGGTGTTTTTGTTAGATTTTAAACTTACCAAACCATTGGTTCAACCGACAATCCAACTAGTTGGACCGATTGAACCATGACCCGACCATCAGAGCGGGTTGCCCTCCGATCCAGTTTTTAAAACAATGCTCACAACTCCGACGTCACCATTAGTCAACTTACAATTAGACATATGAGACCCATAACAAACAGATGAAACCCATTTATAAACTGACTAATTACGAACCGTCTCATCAAAATTATAAAAAAAAAATTTGTAAAATTGATTGTAAATATAATTTACCTTTAATTGTTACTTCCCATATCTTTATGGGCCAAAATGGTTGTTCTTCACAATCGCTTTGCACCTCAAACCACATTCTTTGGGCTTGTCATTGGATTCGGAGAAAAGTAAATTAAGAACGGTACAAATGAATAGTTTATATCATTGAAACTGCATTAACACAATATATCATAATTTGTTCTACAAACTTTCAATTTCAGAGGCTCTATCCATGTGTAATGTAGGAACATAACTAAAATCTGAAACGTTCCCAGTTGAAAACAAACTCATTATGTTGAGATATGATGTGATCCAAAATTACATCTGACATTTCCTTATAAGGAAGACCATGAATTACAGAGAGAGGCATCTCAAAATATACAACCTTAAAATGCACTCTACATAATTAAGTGAGATCAATTTACATCACTGTGAAAAGGACCCCCCCAAAAAAAAGGGTATTGCGAAGCCTGAAACTTTACATGGTTTTGTCCACTACACAACGGCTGACTCAATCTTTTCTAGTGTTTCCAACCTGGTTTTTCTCTTCCAACCTTTCATTGAAGCTACGAGGTTGATCAGCCCCACAATTTGACTTTTGCTATATTCCTGCGTGCAAAAGGATTTTCAATATTATGATGTAACAGAATACATTTAGTAGCAGAAAGAGAGCAAAAGTTTTGACATAACACAAAAAAATTTCTTACAGGGTGAGCAGCTGCCCAGTGAACATATTCAGTTTCCGGTAGGTAGTAAGCCTGCTCAAAATGGGGAGAGAAGGAGAGAGGGAACTCAAGTTAATTATGATAGATTTTTCAATGAAAATTTCTAATGCAGTAAAGATTCATGTCAAACAGATCAAGGTGTACCCATCAAATTATACTAACAAAACTACTTTGAGTTCATAATCTGCACATGAACTTACAAAATTATTCAGCAATTTACTATGCTCATACTCACCTTGATGAAAGTTTCAACTATTTGTAACTTTGGCTTGACATTCATGGAGACAAAATGTTGGAGACCATTGATTAAAACCTGATAAGAATAAACACAGCAGTCAACTTCTCTTAAGTCAAAATACAAAAGGGAACAGTAAAATATTCAAATGCCCAACACAACTTAATAAGTACCTGAAGATCTAATGACATGAGAGCTCGTCCTTCATCAGTACATCTCTTTACTCTTGATAGACCTTCTATAAGAGTTTCAGCAACAATTTCAACTCCATATTCTAACAGGCGGTCTTGAACCTTGACAAACAGTAGCATAGTTTCAGATAGTAAGTCCTTTTCACATGATCAAGTTTGCCTTCTTCTTAGTTCACAGCTATGACATTAATGCATTCATGCATATACAATTAAAGTCACTCAGTGAACCTAAGAGAAGAAAGCTGGTGGGCGATATAAATAGATTTCATATTTCCATAGCCATGTAAAATCAATACATTTCATTCATGTTTTGATTAATTGTTTGAGTGCTTGTCGGCCACTGTGTGTAGGTTAGGTGAATAATTGATTGCCTGATAAAATCTAGATTTAAGTTTTAACCATTACCTCTTTGCGAATACCTCCATGAGCAAGCCTTGTTTTATAGTGCTTAAATTCTCCCAACAACAAATCAACATATCTGTCATTAAGCAACCAGGGTCAGAGAATGTAGAAGTAGTTTCACATGAGATAACAACCTTAAGAAAAAAAAGTAATTTAGAAATAAAGGATAATCCAAGTTAACAGACCCATTATGTTCAAGTCCAAGCTCCTTTACTTCCCATTTAGCATTAGAAATTCGATCAACATAGCTGCAAAAAAAGAGCTTATCCCATTAAAGGAGATCGGAATAGCCAAGACAAGAATTAGAGACCAGATGCAAAAAAGGTACTGCCAGAGGTGGTGTTTTTTTTTTTTTTTTTGCGGGGCTGAAACAGAAAAATAAAAAGAAGAAAATCCTTTCTATGCTTTAGCTTGCGGCAATTCCTTCTAATTGGAATTACCTGGGTCTACTATCATTTACTAATGCAACTTGTTTTCCTAGTTCAAGAATTAAGAAACATTTTTGCAAGCATTAAAACCCTTGTAACCACTATTAAGATTATGGCTTAGTTAAGGAAATCATGTACAACAAGGATTGGTTTCCAGCAACTAGTGACAACTTGGGGTATAAAATCATTTTACACGCAAATCTTAAGGTAAGCAATCAATTATTTATATATATGGTCATAATTGTCATTTTAAAGTATGTTGAACTAAAGTAGGCATCCAGAAACAAATGAAAGGGAGAGAAAAATTTCTTTATTTCAACTGAAAACTAATGACTTTTAGATTGACAAATCACAATGATAGATTTAAAGAATAAGTTTCACCAACAATGTCCAAATTGGATGGAGTTTATAGAAGAATTGCACATTTTAACAAATTCTGCAAAAATATTTAATTATTGACTTGGAAAGATCAAAATGCCCTTCATCAAAAGTTTCATGGATTTCTGTCATTAACCTCATCAAAAGCATCTAACATCTGTAAAGCACCATCTAGAGTTTATCAAGCACTATCTAAAAGGGTATCAGGCACTGTTCAGTGCACAAGACAATGTTGTCGAACATACCAGATGCTCAACAAACACTGGATGGTATACTCAACATGTTACACGAATTTAACATATAAAAGGGGCTTTTTCGTACATCTAGGTCATCATTTGGGTAATATATGCAAGAATTATTCCTATTTTGAAAAATTAAAACAAAAAACCTAAAACCTTGATTACTTTTGCAAAAAACCTTTCAAAGAAAGGTTGTCTGGCAATTCTTTACTAGCCTTTCCAAAAATAACTTTTGCAGCATAGCAATTGTGCAATAAGAGGTTATAACTCACCATAGAATATAAATGCTACAGCAGAGTGAGAGTAACAGTGTGTGTGATTTTTTGAGCATTCTCAAATTGGATGCTGTTCCATTAGTCTATAGTTTTTCTTTGCTCAGTTCTTGTTTTCTTTTTGACAAGAACTCTTTACATGAGATGGGGCCCCGGTTCCAGACTAAATTATGGGAGAAAAAGGCGGACGTGAGACACAGAAAATGCCAAATCTGAGCAGTTTTATACCAAATACAATGGTAACGCCCTTTCTCTTTGTGTCTATACACATAAGAATCAATGGACCATCTTTTCATAAATAAAGAAACTTAAATCACTCAATAAATACCCTTTCAATGGTTGTGATTAAATCTTATATGTGACACTTCAAGGATGCATATATGTAGATTTGATACATATAATATTAATTCATTTATGAAATGGAACCTCTAATGTTTCCCCAAAAAAAAACAAAAAACAAAAGAAGAACAATATTTTTATGATCTTACCCATCAATATGGAGCAGTAATCTTGCAGTTGTCCTATGTATGTGCTCCGTAAGATCTGGCACAGAGTCCACCTGACAAAGACCAAATAATTTCAAGACTAATTTCATCTTAACGTTTGTTTACCAGTAGAAAAGAATTATAATTATGGAAAGCAACTAAAGCGCTCTAAGAAGAGTTATAAAATCAAAATCATCCAAAAACCACATCCCATTTCTGCTGAAGAGAAATACAAAGTGAAAATGGAGAAATCAAGTCAACACAAGCATCAATCAATTGAAAATGGTATTAGCCAAAATTTTTCTGATATTTAATTAATAAGCAAACTAATGAAAAGTTATGTCCTTTCTCAATTTCCTATATTCCATACCACAATGACTGTTTATAAACACTCCAAGACATGCAAAAAGGAAACATACCAGGTGGACATAGAAATCTTCAACTGCATTACTTTGCAGAAGCATTGACTGGAGATGAGTTCTTGATCTATACAAAAACCGAGCAACAAGAGATATAGTGTCAGCACCTGCACACCTTTCCTGCAACATAATGGTCATATTATATATACACAAATAATATACATAATGCTTCATTCTATATTTGAGCAACAAATTTACAGAAAGAAATCTATGGTACAGTGTACTCAAGGAAATGATGCAAATTCATAGAATGTAATGATAAAATCTGTTAGAGGAGAAAGTTTCATTACTTCTTTGCAACAAAATACATTCTTTTTTTAATTAAATCAAATGAAATAGGAAGAATTCTATTATTTTAAGACGGAGTTAAGATGATTTACGAGACCTTAAAATACAAGAGGAAGAAAGCAAAAGAATGACATAGACTTGGGGAGGTTTACCCAATACCCCATTATAAGAATATTTTTTCACTCTTTCTCAAGTAATAGGTGAGTGTCCAAAAACACAGAGACTGGTTCCTTATCGTTTTGGGGTATTGCAAAAATCCAATTTACTCAATATATCATGAATATGCAGTCTAAGAAAACACTTGGATGAAGGATCTCTGCATTTATATCCTCTCTTGACCTACCACCAACTCATCCTGCTATTTTTTTTTTCTCTCCATGATAGAAATATAATTATTTATATACATTCATATATTCTGTCTTAACCAAGTGGCATATGTTTCAAGTAAGAATCCGTATGGATGCTTGGTCGTATAGCACTGAACCAATGGTTTGCAGGATTAATGGAGGCCCTAACTCTGGAGTATAAAGAGATATACGAAAGTATATCAGTGAACATTTATGATAGGCTATTTTCTTCTACAAGCCACTGAATGAGAATGGCCCAATATGCTGCCTTTAAAGCTGAAACACATACACTTCCGTAAGCTGCAGGAAACCTCCCATAAAGGTACAACACCTAGATGTCAATCTTCTACAACAATGTCCTTTCACAATACGCCAGATTAGCATCTGTAAAAACTTCTATCTTCTAAGTGGTTTCCCTCCCAAAGTGAGGATGATTTCAGACAATCTATATATTGATATAAGATGGTGCATCTGAAAAGATATACAACTGGGCAAACAAATATGCTTTTCTTAAAGCCTAGTACATTAGACAACCAAGCATTTAAGAGAAACAACCAGTATTTATCCTCTATCCATTTACAAGAGTTCCTCCACTGAACTTATAAAGTGACACCATTAGTGTATCTACAACATTACAACCAAGTGCCATGTATGCATTAACTGCAAAGTTACAATAATTCAAAAAGGTCAGAATATCCTCTTCTTTGACTCAATTACATTAACATGTTAAAAAAATTTATCATCAGCACATTGTCAAAATCAGTGGCGTTTCCTGGTATGTTAAATAGAGCATACGATCCAACCAACAATTTCTATATGCAATCTTCAACTAGTTCATGTGCCACTTCCTCTCATTTCCATGTGGAATTCCACAGGGCAATATGCCTGGGACCTAGAATTCTGGCCAACTCTTTAATTGTCCCCCAGAAACTACTCATAAGTTTGGATTCATAAAAAATCCCATGTAAAAAGTGCCCAATAAGTTGCATTTTAAAATCATCCTGAATTCCAAGTTCGCTGGCATTATGATACAATTTGGTAATCCATTAAAGAACTTTTGCTTTAGAATAAACACCATATACAAATTCTGATGAGAGCATTGCTCTCCTTCTTCCCTTCTCCATTCTAAATGGCTCTAATATTCTTTCTTGCCTTGCCTCTCTGCAGTTCCCCATAAAATTCCTAAAAACCTGGCTGGGGCCATATAAACTCTCAAAGTTCCTCTCTCAACTTCATGTCTTTCCCCATCAATCATAGCTCTAAATCTACAAAGGATTCATGCAAAATTCTTTTGATCAAATACTGCAGTTCTTTACTCCCAAGTAGGGCAGCAATGAGTCGAGCCAAAAGTCGAGCCGAGCTCGAGCTCAAGCAGCTCGAGTACCCTTTCGAGTCAAGCTCGAGCCACCCACTATTCGGCTTGAGAGGCTCACCAATGGCTCGAAAGGGTATAACTGTAATTTTTTAAAGTATTAGGGGGTTATGTGTGATTTACCATCTCCTATATAAATTATTCCAATTCCCAAACCCTAACTTCTTTCTCCAACGGCCAGCCGACACTTTCTCCTTTCTTTTCTTCTTATTTTTCCTCCTCCTCCTTTTTCCTTCATCTTCACCTTTCTTCTTTCTTCTCCTTCTGTCTTCCATCTCTTTCCTTCTCTCTCTTCTCTTCTCTTTTCTCTCCTCTTCTCTATTATTCTCTGTCTCACAGCCGGTGGAATTTTCAGCGATGTATTGCGGCTGGTCTCTTCTTTTTGTTTGTAGATGTGGTGAATTCGGGCCTAATTTTGGGAGATAACTTGTGGGACGTTTGGGGTTTGAGGTGGTTTGAAGAATTTGATGATGGGTTGGTGACAATTAGCCAATGTTCTGAAAACTGGACCGGTTCGACCGGGAGCTGGCGGTATCTCCGGTCTAGTATTTTCTAAAACCGGCATTTTCAGTTAAATCGGATTGAGCCGCGGTTGGACCGCCAGAATAGTGCCGAGTCGCCGTCCATTGGCAACTCAATCCCGCCAGATTCCGGCATCGTTCGACGGAGAAAACACCACCATTCGACTTGACAGCATCTCCACGACAAAACCCATCCATTTTCAGGGGCCGTCGTCCAGCCTTCGTCACTCGCCGTCCACCTAAAGTTCACGCGACCGTCGGATTTCGTTCTTGATTTTGGAAATTTCCGACGCCGATGGAACTCCCTAACACCACCATCAGATTCGCAGGAACCTATACATCAAAAGTCCCATGATTCCAACTTCGATTGGCTGTCGATCGTCACTGCCGCCACCACTCACCAGTCTCTTTGCGCGACAGGGGTGTTTTAGACAGATTTCAAACCTTAAGGGAGTATTATAGGGGTGTTTTTGATAAATTTCAAACATTTAGGGACTAAAAATAATTTTACAGAATACGGTCCAACCAACCGATCCAACTAGTCAAACCGGTCAAACCGAAAACCGGACCCTTGAACGGGTCATAGTTCGGTCCAGTTTTCGGAACATTGCAATTAGCCTTTTTATGGGGTTACTCTTAAACGAGCCGTTCGCAAGCCGAACTCGAGCTCAAAAAATTTAACGAGCTTGAGCTTCAAGCCTGGTTTTCAGAGCTCGTCAAAACCAAGCTCGAGCTCGAACTCGTTAAATTTTCACGAACTGAGCTTCGAGCATCGTAGTGTTCGGCTTGGCTCGACTCATATATAACCCTACTCCCAAGTGTACGTTCAAAATCAAGATCAAAAGACCACACAGAAACCAAAAATTTTATGATTCATGACCATCAAGTATCACAACTCAAATAAAACGTCTTTGTCACCAAGCAATTATTCCCGCACACATCTATTCCTCCTTTTCTCGTTGAGAAAATACTTTTTAAGCAAATCAGTATAAGATGGTTATATACAAAGACATCAATAAACTGAACCACCTAAAAGCTTAGGAACTATCAAGAAAGTGAAAAATAGAAAATAATGAGTATAACACCTTACAAAGAGACATTGATATAATAAATCATTAGACACAGGAAAACCAACAAACCAGAAAATATTGCCAAAAGATATAACGTAGTAATATACAAAGACATCAATAAACTGAACCTACAAGCTAAGGATCTATCAAGAAAGTTGAAAATAGAATATTGAGTATTACAACTAACAAAGAGATTGATATAAGAGTACAGAGGAAAAATGACGAAATTATTGCCAAAAGTCACAAAGTAACATGAGAAGTTTCAACTAGAGAAGCCAACAAATATTAAAGGAACAACAGAAAGTTGGTAATGGCAGAAGCATAAAATTCTCTCAGATGGTAAACTTCTGCCATCTGAATGATAAAAGCCTTTCCATGGCTGAGAAAAAGAATATGAAAATGAATAACTTCAAAGAAAATATAACCCTAAAAATTTAGAATGTTTGATTTTAAGAATAAAAGATTGTAATCTTCTAAAAAGTGGAACAATAAGAAACAATTTATGCTTCAGAATGTCAATAATCATAAAATGACAACCATAATGATGGATAGCTTAGAGAAGATGCAACATAACCACTAGGATACATAGAATATGGATTAAAAGGCAAAAGCAAACAATAACAGTACATATTACACATATTTTGGCAATGGAATCTGAAAAACGTGAGGATTCTAATATTCTGGATCCTAAAGCATTATTATGCAAGTGATACATAGAAAAGTTGGAGGCAGGTCAGGAAAAACCATATGACAATCTAATCGAATGAATGCCTTGACTAAGTAATGCACAATACCTTGAGACCAAAAGATGAGCCTGGTGGGTGACTCGGAGGACTAGTAGGTGTAACATCCACATGAGTCAAAGGTGCAGGTGAAGAGGGTAAAAATGATGTCAACTGTGGTTTTAACCACTCATCACAATCTTGTGCTATCCTGGTTAAGGCTGTCTTCAGCCGATCTGGGTATCATAAGAAGATACAATTCTTGTTATGTGTCAACCAAAATCTTAAGTAGTTCATTTCAGATACATTGATTTCTTACCACATGATGAAATAAAGAAGAAATATAAGAAATGAAAGAAAGAATATAAAGCTGGTAAATATATAATATACCAAAAGATGGAGAGCTGAAAAAAAAAAAAAAACAACAACAGCGACACAAAGACCTTACAATTAAGTGGGTTGTTTGAGCCTTTTGCATTTGAATTATTGTTTTGCTGACCGAATGTTTCAAATACATAATAGAAAAAAACGTCAAACAATTGGCATATCCCCTGCAACAATATACTGAATCAGGAAAAACAACTTAGAGAAGAAAATTAAACGAAAAACATAATTTACATTGCATAAAAGCTAAATAAATATTGAGTAACTAATAAGAACATACCTTAAAAAACTCAAAATTAACAATTTCTAATTTCTGCATAAGCCTTGCATATTTATCCATCGACCTAATATGTTAAAAGATCAAGACAGATGAATACATCTTATATAAAATAATCAAGGTCCTATGGTCTAAAACAAAGAGAGTTTTTATACATTTTTTTTCACAGAAAGTATAGAACATCTGACCTGAGAAGGCAAAGAGATGATCCTGTTTGGGCAGTTGTTTCGTCATCGTTTGAATTTGAAGAGTGAATTCTCCGATTATTGGATTTTGAAATTCGACTTGGAAGTTGACTATCTTCATCTATAAAATCTGCAAGAAGATCTTCATTTTCATCTTCTAGGATCGAATTGATACCATTCATGCGACTTGCACCACCACTTTTTGGAGTGGCCTTATCACCATGACAATAATCATTAATATTTCCATCGCATTCCCCAGCAGTAGCTCCATTAAGTTGGGGGGAATTAGGACCTTCTTTGGAAGTATATGTTAATTTTACTGAAAAAGGGTTCCCAGATTTAACCCAATGAGAAAATCCACTTTTCTCGGCACTGCTACTGACTGAATTCGCAGATTTATCAGAATGAAGTACTCTAGCATTAGAAGAGTTGGATGAAGCAATTAAAGCTGCTCCATCACCTACAAGCCCAGCAAAACTAACCCCTTCTACAGTATCTGGCGGCAATTTCATCCAAATTTCCTTCTCCAGAACCATTTTAAGCGCCTGGAAAATAAGCAAAAAGTATCTTTAGTCATGTTGCACACCACATCAAGGTTGTCTCAACAAGTTATCAATTAGTTGGCACCATCACATGGGAAGCAGAATTATATACCACAAGTATTTGTCGACTAATAAATTCAGTCAGCAATTATTGCTTGGGAAACAATATGAAATGCTGAAACCATGATTACAACAAATTGATGTACATGGCCATATTCTAATATCCTATCTTAATGTTAACTGACTGATGCAAACAGTTTGGAACCATAATTGTATGATCGATAAAGTGGCTATTACTAATATAGCTGATGATGTAAAGAATATTATTTCAGAAGAAAAAAAAAAAATCAAATGTTGTTCTTAGTTCTCAAATACCGATGAAGTAAAAATCACATTTCCATCTATTTTGCAGTGAAGTTTGAAGTTGGAAATTGTATATAATATAAAAAACATTAAATTGGAGAATGACATGAATATGTTATGCTCATTGCATGGCAACTGATGTGCCTTGTCATCAAAACATAGATACCACACAAGATATGAAATCAAGTATAGAATGATACTGACAACCATATAAAAAACAAGAGGCTACAGTTCCCAACTTACAAATATACTTTGACGATGAAATGCTACAAAATAATTTTCACAAACAGCCTTCAATTTGTGCCTGAACTCAACTGCCTCAATCCCACAGAAGGCTTCCCCAGCCAAGATGAAGACATTCAAATCTTCGTAATTTTTCAAGAATTGGTGAATGCTTGTAGAACAAACCGCAGCTGAAGAAAGCAATACTGATACCCGACTAGTCGTAAGTTGCCAAAGATTCTTACGGCCTCTCAGAAGAGTTTGTGAAACAAAAGCAGTAGCATCTTTTCGGAGCTGATACCATGGGGATCCACTACTGGATGCTGCACTACCATCATCCCTAGCCTCCTCTACAGAACCTTGAGATTCTATGCATGTTGAACTAGTCCCTGCTGGCTCAGCCAAAGAGATGGTGGTTGTAGATTCCACTGCAGAAGACAAACCAGACGTCTTGTCTACAGATTCAGAGAGAGAGTCATTAACTCCCATGGAATTGCAAGAATTTCTACTGAGTGAATCAATTTGCTGAACCTCTCCTGAACTCCAAGAGATATCACTATCCTTTTTCCTATTTGAGGTCTGACACAGAGAACTCTGCACCAAATTGTCATTATTTGATTACATTTGTGTTTCATAGGCAAAATAAACATAAGAAAGGTACCCAAAGAGAAATTTGGAAATACATAATTACTTGTGGATTGGGGCACATGGATTGGGGGAAAGGATGAGAGAAAGAATACAAAGTTATGCCCTAAAATTGGAAATTTCTCTACATGAAAGCAACCTTTTCATCTAACAAAATCATGGCCACATTTTTTGATTTAGGGCACTGAGTTGATTAAAAGAACTCTAGATCTAGGTTGTACAACTTAAATTAACTTAGAAGTTCTAAATTGTACAGCTCCACCATGCCTCATTGTACACAATATGAGGCAGAAACAACCATGTCCACTAAACCTAGCGAAAGAAAATAGCGACAAACATAACCATCAGATAATAATTGTCAAAATGACAGGAAATACACAAATGAATGGAATTACTTGTAAGAAGCTAGAGGTATTTAGAATCACAGCTAATTATTCATTGCAGACAAAAAAAAAAAAAAAAAAAAAAAAGATGAATATTGAAAATAAAGCTCTTTCGATAAAAATACTTAGTTTTGTAGTAATTAACTTTATTAGAAAATACACTAGAGTTGTTCATGGAGATCAAATATAGGGGAGGTCAATATAATTTTTTAAACAGGAGATGATGTCCCAACAATTTCATAAGTTTCATACAACTAACGACAGCACTAAGAACAGAGTAACGCCGAAGAAAATAAAGCAATGTGCCATGGAAAGTAAATCTGCCAATCACATTCAGTAGGCAAACACAGACAACTATTAAATCTAGAAACAAATGTGACATCAGCATAATGAGAAAAAGTAGAGAAGAGTAATTCACTTAAACAATAATAGAGAAGTGCTATAGAAAATAATATGAAGTTGTATCACAAAAGATAAGAAAATATGTAATAAAACCAAATAAACAGACCAGATAAGAAAATGAAAGAACTTTACCTTATTCTCTGGCTGAAAGCTCATAATTTCATGATATGAACACATCAACTTAAATAAAACGGCTAACGTTTTCAATAAACACTGTCTGAACTTAGATTCAGGTATCCTCAGGCACAGATCACTGTAGGTAAGTCTGAATTGAACTAAAATAAATCAGTAACTGTATCAAAATTAGTATTTTGTCCGTTAAAGAACTGTGAAAGTTTATAGAAAATACCTGCAATTTTGCATGTCCAAATCATGATCCTGTAAAATTAGTTAGTATATTAGAAAAAATGACCTTTAATAGAACAGTAAGGAGCCGATGAATTTCAACAAAGAAAAGGATAGATAAATACCAAGAGTAAGACAATAGATATTGAATAACCACAACTATATGTTTCATGCATGTCTATATGTAATTTCATATATCCTCCCGACCAAAAATACACATACGTGCATGCTCATGCTTAAGCATGTATAATCTGTTTCAATAATTTGAAATATGGATCCATAAGAAATAAATCCAGAGTTAGTTAATGATAAGACATTACAGTAAGGTGTACAAGAATCAGTCTTGAAGTAAACTGAGTGCTTGTCTAATTGGACTTGTCTGCTTGTCCAAGAGCTTTTTAATGTCAAAAGTTCTTCTCAAATTCTTCTGTTGTTTGGTTGCAACTCAAAAGAAGCTTATAAGTTACCAAATAGAAGTTTTAAGTCTACTAGGAGAATCTCGAATTTTCGGCTTTTCCTATAAGCTGTTTTTGAGAAAGAGTCAAAATATCCCCTCGTTAGTTTAAATCTTTTACTATATCATTTCTTTTACATTAAAACCTTTTTTGGTAATTTAATACTAGAAAGTTTTATTAAATTTATCCAACCAAACAACTAACAACTTTCATAAAAGCTCAATTACTATAAAATATTCTTGATGTATTTCCAAAAGCTTTACTTGAAGAAAACAAGCTAAGTCCACTCTAACAAAATATAATGGTTAATCGTATTTATGTTGGTGCCAAATAGTATATTTTTCTTAGGAACACATATATGATTATATAAGAGATATTTTTTTATTATTCATAAAATTGGCTATGCATATCCACACCTCTAGCACTATACTCTTCAACACAAAGTGGGTCTCCGAAATAACTTCCTGCATAAAGAAGCTTTGTATCTTCTCAGCAAGACCAGATACATCCCCGATTAATGCATAAGCATCAACAACCTGAAAAGAATTACAGTAATTCATGAAACAACCTGAAAATTGTGAGAGGCCTTGTAAATTAATAAATAATATTACTTAAGAGAAGGGGAAAAAAATGATGTTCAACTTGGCAAACTAAGTGAACCAAATCAAGTACGAGAAGAATGATGCTATATTAATTAAGATAATTGATTAATCAATCTTAAGCTCATAAAATGTGATGCAAGGGAGAAGTTAATCAGCTCACGTATAAACTAAATTGAAAGCTCATATATAGTCAATACTGAGTGCTTTGGGAAGTAAAGTATTGGTGGTATTTCAACCCAGCAAGAGGAGAGAGAAAAGCAGATTACTCCACTGCATCAAGTTCTGGTCAATATCATGAAAGCAACAAATCCCCAATAGGGTAAAAGGGTTCCGAGAATTTAATAAATTTATATGTCTATATGCATAAATGTAGTTTTTGAACTGTAACGGAAACAGAAAGGTAATCCTTCTGCTCCATTTTCCACTTAATAGAACCCATAAGAGTTGTCCAGTCTTGAAAATTAATTCACATAATTTCAGAACCTTCCTAAATTGTCCCCTTTCACATTCCTGTCAGTTGATTGCCAATGCATTAAATATCATCAAGAAAAGAGCGATTAAGGAAATTAATACTCTCTCACCAAATTCTCTCCACACAAATTTGGACTTTTAAAATGGGTTATCAATTCCGTCAAAGGGAGTTCATCAATTATTTGAAAAGGATATCGATTTATCACTTGTGATGCAAACAATAGAATGTCAAGATGCTTAAAAGTAGAAATTAAAACTACATGCATGCACTACTTTGGAAAGAATGAAGAACTTATCCATTTCACATCAAAGACAGATATACTGACATTAATATATGCCTCCTCTTTAAACTCCTGGCACACTCCCAACAGTAAAGAATCCAGCTTCTGAAGAGTTCTGCTCAGCCAAACCTGTATCATTTTTTGTACCAAATAAAAGGTTCAGAAAATAACCTGTAAACAACAAAAGCAAAAATATATACATTTTTTATTTTTTATTTTGATAGGGAACAAGTAATTATAGTTCTATCAAAAAGAGTGTAAAACATAGTAGTATGAACCAGTGGTCCATCCTACATGATTTACAAATTAGTGAACCAAAATGCTTCTATAGTGTTGACTCAATACTCCAACCGGCCCCAAAATTAGTGTACCTCTGCTTCTTAATTTTCCAGAATGGAAAAGAAAAAAAAGCGACAGTTGAATTCTAGTAAACCCAAAGGCCAAAATTTATATCATCTCAAGGTGAAAAAAGTGTCATAAGAAATTTTAACTTTGCAAAGTAGATTTAATAAAATTTTAAGAAGAATAAAATAATAGAACCCTATTTGATTTAAGTTATCAAAAATTTCTTAAGAGAAATTTAATATTCACCTCAACACCACGGCTCATCTCTTGTATTGCTGAGAGCTCTGAATAACTATCTAGTAGCTGCAAATACTCAGAGAGGACTTGAAATGCCTGTACAATGATATACATTAAGCCTACATTTTAGAAATGCTACGTACAACTATTAATAATACAACATAAAATAAGAAAAGAGTAATAGAAATTTGAAGTTTTCCCAGATATGTATACAGACCTTGCAGTAATTTCCTCCCTCAACAAGGGATTCAAGTGCCAATTGCATGTCCCGAGCAACACAAAGCTCAGTCAATATTGGAATCATGTCCTGCAACAGGGAACAATGGTGATACATGAACTCCCTAGACTAATGTGTGTTTTTTGGCGAGCAGTTGTACCAGTAATAAAAAGACACTTCAAAATCAAAAAGTCTTAAAAAATTATGACTAAAGTAGAAGACAGCATAGAAATAAGAGTGATGGCATTGCGATCATTACAAATCAGCAAATACAAAACTCAGATCAGTCTCACTGTCCTGGATCTATTATTTGGTACTTATATAAAATGTAGTATCAGGCAGTGATAAAGAATTCAATGTTCAAAGAATAGGACAGCATAATCAGGATTAGGATGTGTTATGCTAGCCAACAACAGAGGTCAGAACAGTAAAAAAAAATCAGTGAGAAGCTAGATGTGATATTGATAAGAGAGAAAAAATTAGGGAAGAACATTACACATAGAAATGTACTGGTACAAAGGAGGGACCCTGATAGGCCTCCTATAACTAAGCTGTACAAGAAGAAGAAGGGAAAGGGCAGCCAGGGAAATTCAGATTAGAGTTAGTTAGGTGGAATCTCCATGTAAGGGAGTGCGGAGAGTGTAATTTCAGTTGTATATAAGAGGGGGCCCCCCCGGTTTCGCGGGGGGGGGGGGGGGGGGGGGGGGGGTGTGTGGGGGGGAATGTGTTGTGGGGGTGTGGTTTGTTTGGGGGGAAGGGGATGGCTGGCTAATAGGATCATGAAATTCTGGAATTATTGTTGGAGGCCACTAGCCCCTCGAAGTGCTAGTCACCCCTTTTATTTTTCTGTCATTGTTATTTCCTGTATTCAGTTTGTTTGGCCATCATTTTCATTTCAATATATCAGTATAATTTTCCAGTTACTTAGAGGTGATGTTGAGTGTTAACAAATAGCATTTTTATTGAGCATTGCGGTTGTGTTCTCATCAAATTGGTATCAAAGCTAGGTTGGGGAATGGTAAAATCCAAGATGGAGAACATAATGGATAACGTTGAAAAGGAAATGAAAACAGTGAAGGAAAGCATGGACACGATGAAAACTAACGTGGGAAGTGTTAAAGAGTATTTAATGGAGATGCGCGAATTAATGCATATGAGGGAATAAAGGGATGAGAAACGATATCGGGAGAAGGAGAAATCATCCTCGTCGTATGAGGGAATAAAGGGATGAGAAACGATATCGGGAGAAGGAGAAATCATCCTCGTCGTCGAAGAATCAGAATTCTAGCCGAGACAAGGAACTTGAACGAAAACACAATGGTATGGTGATAATGAGAAGGAGGACAAGAAGATTCGCAAACTGGAGTTGCCGATATTTAACAGAGATGATCCTTTTGGATGGACCTTCAGAGTGGATCGGTACTTTACGGTCAATCGTTACGAGAAAGAAGAGAAAGCACAAGCTGTGACGGTGTGTATGGAGGGTCGAGCCTTGAACTGGTATCAATGGGTCGAATCCCGGTCGCCAATAACTTCTTGGAGCTCTTTCAAATCGGCGCTAGTCTAATGATTCCGACCATCATATAAGGGGTCTGCTTATGAAGCACTGGTGGCGTTGAGGCAAACTGGGACTGTGATTGAATATCGCGAACATTTTGAAGAACTCTCAGCTCCTCTGCATGAGTTAGGAGAAGATCTCCTAATGGGCATCTTTGCAAATGGCCTTAGAGAGGCGTTACGGGCTGAACTAAGGCTAAGTAAGTCCAAAAGTTTGTTTGAACTCATTGACCACGCCCACCGAATAGAAGAAAAGAATTGGGTCCTCGACAAAACTAAGCCCAGGTTTTCCAAAGCCCAAACAAGCCTTCTTCTCCAGATCTGGGTCATCTAAATTGGTGGAATACGACAATCAAACCCACTGAACCAAGACAAAGTAATCGTGTGTGGGACAAGAGAGAAAAACCGATGGAAGGAACAACAACTCCACCCCGAAATGACGGATTCCGACGGTTAACAAAGGCCGATTTGCAATATAAACGAGAAAGGGGACTTTGTTTCCGGTGTGACGAGAAATTCGGTCCCAATCATTAGTGTAAGAGTCGATCTCTCCAGGTTTTATTGCTGCTTGACAACTATGAGACTAATAGAGGAGAACCCATGAGTGAGCCAGAGGCAAAAATTACCGCAAAAGGTAATCCTCTATCTCTATCCATGAACTCAATTGTTGGCATTACATCGGATCGAACCATGAAGCTTCAAGGACAGATTGGGAGTGAGGAGGTGATTGTGTTAGTGGATAGCGAAGCCTTACACAATTTTATCTCACATGCCTTAGTGCAAAAACTGGAAATTCCGATTGATGGAGCTAAGTCTTTCGGGGTCATAGTTGGTAATGGGTTCAAAATCAAGGGTGAAGGGATCTGTAGGGATGTGAAGTTAGAAATGCAAGGGATGGAAGTTCAACAAAATTTTTTTCCATTTCAATTGGGTGGGGCCGATGTGGTCCTTAGAATTGCTTGGTTAAGCACCTTGGGAGATGTTTATTCCAATTGGGGTAAGTTGACTATGGCGTTTGCTAAGGGAGGGAAGTAGGTGATACTCAAGGGTGATCCTTCACTTGCTAAGATAGTAGTTTCTCTGAAAACTTTACTCAGGATGTTGCCAATGGAGGGGGATGGATACTTGGTGGAATGCAGTTCAATAAAGGTCAAGGATAGTCAGGAAGAAGGAAAATTGGAACCTGCGATGGTTGAGGTGTTCAATGATTTCGCCCAAGTTTTTGACTAAACTACTAGACTCCCTCCCCGCAGAAAACTAGACCATGCCATCACCCTTTAACCTGGAGCCAACCTACCCAACATTAGACCATACAAATACCCTTACCTCCAAAAGAATGAGATTGAGAGATTAGTTGGGGAAATGATGGATGCAGGAATTATCCAACCTAGCACAAGCCCTTACGCCAGCCCCGTGTTGTTAGTTAAGAAAAAGGATGAGAGTTGGCGATTCTATGTCGACTTTAAAGCCTTAAACAGCATTACCATACCCAACAAGTTCCCTATTCCATCCATGGAAGAGTTGTTGGATGAGCTAGCGGGGGCTACAGTTTTTTCCAAGTTAGATTTAAAGTTCGGGTATCATCAAATTCGAGTTAAAGAGAAGGACATTCCAAAGACAGCCTTCCGCACCAACGAAGGCTATTATGAGTTCTTGGTGATGCCTTTTGGGTTAACGAATGCACCATCCACCTTCTAGGCCCTTATGAATACGATTTTTCGACCATTATTACGGAAGTTCATTCTGGTTTTTTTTAACGATATTCTTATCTACAGCCTGGACATGACTACCCACATTCACCATTTGCGGCAAGCTTTCAAGATTCTGCAAGATAATGCATTGGTGGTCAATCAAAAGAAATGCCTATTTGCACAATATAAGTTAGAATATCTGGGTCACTTAATCTCAGCCAAGGGGGTAAAGGTTGATCCGCAGAAGATCGAATCGATGACATCTTGGCCTGTACCGCACAATGTGAAAAGTTTGAGAGAGTTTTAGGGCTTACGGGGTATTACCGGCAATTTGTGAAAGGCTATGGTTCCATCGCTCAACCACTTACCCAATTGTTAAAAAAAGATTCCTTTATTTGGGCTGATGAAGCTAAACGGGCACTTGATAATCTTAAGACTGCCATGACTACTGTTCTCATCTTGACAATACCCAATTTTGAGCTTCCATTTGAAATTTAGACAGATGCTTCAAGGGCTGGAATGGGTTTTGTTTTAGTTCAGAATGCTAGGCCTATTGCTTTCATCAGTAAGGCTTTCTCACTTCAATCTCGGCTTAAGTTAGTCTACGAACGGGAACTTATGGCTATTGTCTTTGCCATCCGTAAATGGAGTCATTATCTCATTGGTCGCAAATTTATCATCAAGACGGACCAACGAACCTTGCAATTTCTTACGGACCAAAAGGTTAAAACGTCAGAACAACACAAGTGGATTTCAAAGCTCATGGGATACTTATTTGAGATTCACTACTTTCCAAGCAATTCTAACATAGTGGCTGATGCTTTATCCCATCGAGAGGACACAAGGGAACTCATTGCCATTACCACGGTTCAGTTCACTGATTATGATGCGTTAGCCGCTGAAGCGTAAGTTGATCCGAAGTTACAAGTCCTTTTTCAGGACCTCATTTTCGACCCCAGTAGTCGCCCTCACTACCAACTTCGTAAAGGTTGTTTATTGTTTCAAAACAAGTTCGTACTCCCTAAAAACTCAACATTCATTCCTAAGTTACTAGAGGAATTTCATTGTAGTCCTAGTGGTGGCCACTCTGGCTTCTTTCGGACTTATAAAAGAATAGTTGTTGTTGTGTTGTGGGAGGGTATTAGACGGGATGTGCTAAAATTTGTTCAAACATGTGCCACTTGCCAAGTTAACAAGCACTCTTCACTCAGACTAGCAGGGTTGTTACAGCCTCTTCCTATCCCAACCCAAGTGTTTGATGATCTTTCAATGGACTTCATAAGTGGGTTGCCTAGGGCCAAAGGTTATGATACTATTTTTGTGATGGTCGATCGCCTGACGAAATACTCTCACTTCCTCTTGTTAGCCCATCCTTACACCGCCAACGATGTCGCTAATGTGTTTATGTGTGAGGTGGTCAAACTTCATGGCTTCCCACAATCTATTGTTTCTAATCGCGACAGGGTATTCATGAGCCAGTTCTAGCAAGAATTGTTTAAATCAGCAGGAACATCTCTTAAATTTAGCTCCGCCTATCATCCCCAAACAGATGGGCAAACGGAGGTGGTTAACCAATGCTTAGAGGCCTACCTCCGCTGTTTTTGCAGCTCCCAACCCCAGCAGTGGCCCAAATGGTTAGCGTAGGCTGAGTTTTGGTACAACACTACGTACCACAGCTCCACCAAAATGACCCCTTTCAAGGCTCTATATGGCAGGGATCCTCCCATTCTTTTAAAGCTCACTAACTGTCCCTCATTGGTGGAAGATGTCAATCGACAGATTAGGGACAGAAATGCCATATTGGAAGAGCTCAAGCATAATTTGGTTGTAGCCCAAGATCAAATGAAGCAGTCTGCAAATTCACACTGCAGGGATGTCTCTTTTCAATCCGGGGATTTAATATACTTGAATCTCCAGCCGTATCGGTTTTGGTCCTTAGCTAGGAAGCTCAATGAGAAGCTAAGCCCTCGCTTTTATGGCCCTTTTAAGGTGTTAGATAGGGTGGGTCAAATGGCTTATCGATTGGACCTTCCCCCTACTTCTCGTATCCACCCGATGTTTCATGTTTCCCAAATTAAACAAAGTCTTCATTCTTCAGTACCTGTCCAACAACTTCCCTCTTTTCTGACTAACGACTTGGAACTTCAAGTGCACCTTGAAGCTGTCCTCTCCACTCGCCAACTACTGGATGGCTCTCTGGAAGTTCTGATTAAATGGTAGGACCTCCCACATTTGAAGCCACTTGAAGGCTTATGACATGATTCTTCTGTAGTTCCCAGATTTTCACCTTGAGGACAAAGTGGGTGTCAAAGGGGGGGTATCGATAAGCCTCCTATAACTAAGTTGTACAAGAAGAAGAAGGGAAACGGTAGCCAGGGAAATTCAATTAGAATGGGCAGTAAGGGAAATTCATATTAGAGTTAGTTAGGTGGAATCTCCACGTAAGGGAGTGCGAAGAGTGTGATTTTAGTTGTATATAAGGGGGGGAAATAGCTAGCTAATGGGATCATGAAATCTGGAATTATTGTTGGAGGCCACTAGCCCCTCGAAGTGCTAGTCACCCCTTTTATTTTTTTGTCGTTATTTCCTGTATTCAGTTTGTTTGGCCATCATTTTCATTTCAATATATCCGTATAATTTTCCAGTTACTTAGAGGTGATGCTGAGTGTTAACAAATAGCATTTTTATTGAGCATTACGGTTGTGTTCTCATCAGACCCCACATTAGCTTACCAAAGGAAGAGGAACAGTAACATAAAGAGATGTTGAAAAGAAAGAAAAGACTGCTACAAATACATCATTGACTGAGACTTATGTATCACTCTACACGAAGTACAATGGAGCATGAAAATTTTTACCAATAGCCAAGCCTAAAGAACATACAGGACTCTCTAAACAAAGTGGCTACAATATGATGTTAGAATCCCACCATTTTTTCACAAATAAAATGTGTTGAGTTACTACTTAACTTATAAGATTAAGGTTATAGGTAAGTGACCAACAATAGTAACTAAATCCTATGACATCCCTCATGTGCACTTTCACGTGGACCAAATACAGACCATAATCACAAATTCAACCATAACCACAAATATAACTTACTATAATTTAATTATTATAAGAGGGTGATTCAAACACAAGACCAATTGATCAACAAGAGTCTAGTACCATGTTTAGTCATCATGACTCAAAAACTTAAGCTTACATGTAAGGGCCTGAACAATAGAATTAAGTTATTTATATATATATCAAGATATGAAAAAACCCAGGAAATTGTAATCACAGTTTTGGTTGATAAGGTGTCAAAATAAAGAAATATACCAGAAGTGTTTGCTTCTTTTTCGAATTAGCATTTACAATGAGATCCCTTGAAACTTCATTGATTGATGAGTTTATATGGCGTCTTCCATTCTACAAACACAAAAATAACTATACATAAACCAAATCGATTAAGTAAATGGATGGTGGTAGTAGCTTGAAGGAATAAATGAATCGGAAATTCCACATGTTCCTGAATGTAAGCAAATGGGAGAGGACATTTTTGGTCAATATGGGGTTCTTTAAATACTTAAGCAATTACCATGCGAAAACTTACCATACAGATAACATTAGCAACCTTCAAGTCTTTCTCCAGTTCCCTGACTAAATTCATCCCCTTCACTGCCCAAGAGCAAGTATTAATATTCCTTCCCATATAACATAATTGCATTTCAAACATCATACCAATGGCGACTAAAATCAGATTTAGACTTAAAATAAGAAACACTTAACCCGAAGAAGGAAAGAAAAAGAAAATAAGAGAAATAGCAAGCGAAAAGGCTGAAAAACTGAACTGTTCTGCATGATATTCAAGAGATGAATGTTATAATATTTCAAACCTCTAGATATAATGAGTAACAACACTAGAACTGACAGATTAACTGTCAAACCAAACAAATAACGGTATTAGAATATATTGACACATAAATTGACAGTTCTATCTCTAAATAACTAAAGAGAGAAGGGAGCAAATAAAGTTCCACACATACAGTCCAATACAAAAGAGCCAAAGGTTGTTGGTAATTCAGGGGCACTGGTGGGGTTCCTAGCGGCCCATACCCACATTTCTTTAGATAAATGAAGAAATCACTTCCCATCCACTTGACTCCCAACAATTTAAATTCCTTTCTCAAACTTAATTATCAACTCAACAACTGATCAAGGACTTTGGGTCCAAACCACATGAAAACTTGGACAATGCATTAATAACAAATGTAAATGATCTTCAGGATCAGTCCTAGGATAAATGAGTGAGATTGCCTTGGAAAAGAGTAATATCATCTAAGTTGGAAGCTTCTGGTATAAATTTTAAATCCAAGGCTTTATCTCAAACTGGTAAAATTGCACCTTCTCTTAAAAGTTTCATTTCTTTCCTAGTCTATAGTCAGCAGCTGATACATGATTTTTCTTCTTTATGAGGTTTGAATGAAATGGTCATTTTAACAAGCAGGGCATAGGTTCTAAATATATCAACTTTCAGAATAGAGAATCAAACCTCAACAAGGTCTAAGGGTTGAAAAAATAAAACAAGTTTCTCCACTCAAAATTTAAAAAGGTTCCTCAGAATTTAGGTTAATATCGGTGACACCATGAACAGATGATCAAACCAAGAAACAGTCACTCTGTCTCTAACACACACATACAAGGATGGAGGGAAAAGAAAAAAGAGAAAAGTCTCCAAACTAAAATAAGCAAACAATTTTACATGTATAATAGCTGTAGATGAAATGAACACTTAGGTCGGACAAAGATAATATGACATCAAGGAACCACATTCAGTCACATTATGGTTAATATAATTTAAGAGGCAAACAAAGACCTTATAAAATCAAATCCAAGTAGTAAAATAATGGTTAAAGACATCTCATACGAAAAACATAAGATTATCTTATAACAATGAGATTTCTAGTAATCTAATTGTAAAAACAAAAATAAAATATACCATAAGAAAGTATTATTGATACAATTTCTAAGGCTGATCAAAACAACTTACCCATAACTTCATGATGCTCCATGACATTGCGAGATAGAAGCTCAGCTACTCTATCTAGTTGTGATATTCGAAGAGTGGCCTACAAATGAAGATTTCACTTGATTTAAGCTTAAATTTGTTCAAAATTTAAGAAAGATTCAGCTTTCAATACAAGAACCCTCTATGTACTGTTAGTTATTACTCACAAACAAAAAAAGTAACCCTTACATTAACCACATATGACATGAATCCAAAAATGAAATTTAAAAAAAAAAAAAAAAAAAAAAAATCAATACAATCAAATGACAAGGAGACAAAACTCAAGTAAAGTAAAATCAAGCATGGAATACTAGAAGCATAGACACAAATCTATGAAAGCCTCAACACATTTTACAATGGTAAAGTCACCACTGAGGTATACGGTTACACAAATTAATTTCTATAATTAACAGATTGATTCAATTTTATCACATATCTAACCACCCAATTGGAGAATCAAGAAAACCAGAAGCTTCATAGCTCCAAACAATCCAACAGACATCCAACAACCAGCTGAAGGAAGGTTACGTAACCTACTGTCCAACAACTAAAAGGAGGCACATGCATTCATTAAGAGGGAGCCAAAGGTCCACAATCAACCTCTGGTCTAGACTCAGAACCTCATATCAATTAAGAAAAAAAATCAGAGTTATACCTGTTTCTCAAAATATTCAAGCTCATTTTCTTCAGAGGGAATATGCTCTAAAATATGACTTATTGGATCAAAATCCTGCACAAAGATATATATAACAGCTTAATTTAGCAAATAATCCAACTTTGATAAAGGCATAAAGATAAGAGCGCAGAGAGGGATAGAGATATAATAATGTTAAGCTAGCCAAAATACAAACATGCAGGCAAAAGATATAGAAGTTACCAGATCTTATCTTTATTTGTTTGTACGCAAATGTATGCAAATGATTTCCAGGGATTGCAGAAAGAGAAGGAATAAGCAAGACAGAGAGAAATGAAGATTTATTCATATCCATTTTGAGATATCGATGAGAAAACAAACTAATAATCTCTCTATGAACTTCTTAACTATCTCCGACAAAAGAAATATTCAAGCAGCTACTAAGGGTGCCACCTTTTCATATCTAAACCCAAAAAATTCCAAATGAGTATGGGAAGATGTTGATTCAAAAGCTCAGATAGACTAAAGAAAATAAAGTGATCTGAATATAAGTGCCAATTACAGTTCACCATAATAGAGAAAAACAATTCACCATAATAGAGAAAAACTACACACCTAATTGTAAGGCAACCCATTTCATGATCGACTGATGCTTCTATAATGCAGAAATTTTACAAGCAAGCTATTCCTTCAAGTCATAAATGCATAAAATAAGAGTCATATTTTTACAGAAGAAAAGTAACTGTTCCATAATGAAGCTAAATTTGGAAACAAGACCATTAAATGAACTGTCAATAGCTTGTCAAGACATGCAAATATACAAAGTCTCAAACAAAGTAGAAAAGAAAGACATCAAATTAAACTGGAGAGGCATTTGTAAGAAAGTAGAACCTCTTTGTAGAACTCTTCTTCTAGCTCTTCCACTATCTCAACCTGAGGTCTACTTCCATATATAGAGCGAAGTTCTTCAGAACTCGACGGAAGACTGAACCTTTGGTGAGCAGGCAGTCCTGCAAGAGCACGAGCAACAACTGCAGCTGCCGCAGCCCTAGCTGGAACCTGGAGAAAGTAACAAAGAATACATTAATCCAATTCTGACAATAAATGACTTGTTTGAAGTTTCAAAAAAAAGGATACCAAAAGCACAATGTACGCAAGACTGCCAAGTCTTAGTTCCCATAAAAGAATCCCTCATTTCAAGACTCTATCAAGTCCTTCATCCAACATAAACCTTAACCATCCAAGTCACCAAAATATCCAACTTCAATGTTCAAAAAACTATTACAACACTAGAACAACACCCACAGACTTGGGCTTATTTCAGCAAAATGCAGCCCAAAACGTCAACCCAATAACTACAAAAATATATACCTAAAATATTCATATAGCTTCCCTAGCTATCCTTACCCATAATGCATCAAACAAACTGCAAACCTTCAGCCATTAGTTGCCACAAACATGGTAGTAGACCGCCACTAAATTCTCAGCCACAAAAGCAGTCGATTCTGAATATTTCAACTTATTTGAATCCTAACTCACCACAAGATGAAGCAAACTGATACACTAAGGTGTGGGATGTAATTTGGATCAGATGGTAATGATGACGTGAATTTTACAGAAAAAGAAAAATAAAGTTTACTCCACCATCATAACAAAGTACACGTGAAGAGTCCTTTAAAAGGCCTTTAAACTTCATAATTAACAAAATTAAAGCACCAAGTTTTTCACATGGAATTGAGTTGGCCAAATTTAGGACTCTCATCTTTGTTTTGGACCAAGATCAATGGAGGGAAATTCAACAACCAATGCATAGAGACAGAAGTAAATGCATTGGTTGATTGGTTATTCAATCACAGCCTAACTGCCACTTTGGTTCTCATGCATTGATCAAACCTACTCCATAAACCCAACCGAATACCTTGAAGAAAGACCATCATAATACATAAAGCAAAAAGAAATTTCTTGTCTTTTTTTTGAATTCATAAATAGAAAAATCTTTCTCAAATGATAACCTATTGCCCTGAAGGCATCTAATTACTATAACCTATTGCCCTGAAGGCATCTAATTACTATAATATTTGCATTAGAAAAAGGATTCTTATTATAATTATTAGTCATATAATGATATCCGCAACTGCCATGGGAAAGCTGAAATCTTGCTATGTATCTCACCGGCATTGTAAATCAGTAGGGTCAATTCATTTTTTTATGAATATGAATATACTATCCAAGCTTAAGCTTGTATTTCTTTCCCCAATTTAAAGTTACACCTAAACTTGCTTTCAAGAATGATCAATAAAAATGGCTTCCACAAAAGCAATGCTAAAGTAAACTCCAAAATATCCAAGGTATTGGCATGGAGCTAGAAAAATTAAACTGGAATTTACCAAGTATCTCCATCTAGTAATGCTAAACTCGAAAATTAGCAGTGCCATATCTTTAATGTTACTAGGCCTCTAAAATGATCAAAGCTCTGTAGGTTTCAGGAATTAATCATTTCAACATTCCTTGATACATATAAGAGTATCCAGAGTAAGACCAGGACTGTCCTGATCCCAGCAATGAGTAAGTACATATAACACACAATTTGAGATCCTAATTCTATTGAATTAACTGCATTTAATAGAATTGTAAAAATAAAAATAAAAATACCTCGGGCCGATCAGAAGAGGAAGGCAATAGTCCAATGGATCTAGCGGAGCGTACGGAACTAAGAATCTTCTCACCGACCTTGGACAAATCCATTCCGCCTCCTTGGAATAACAAGAACGGGACCAAGAAGAAGACGCTAGAGCTCTGGAAACCTCCTCCCTCCCTCAAATCTTCATTGAACAGAAAAGGATTCCCCGATACGGTAACGAATGGGAACAGATTCGGCTGCATCTCAACTCCACGCCCCTAGATCACAACTTGTTGAACTGTAAGCCATTTGATTCGAGTGTTACAAAGAGATCTAATTGGAAATTTAGATGTGATAAGTTCCAGAGGAGTGGTGATGGTGATAACTGTTGGGCTCTGTTTGTTTGGTAGGGAAACTGATTATTATTGATTTTATTTGTATGACTTTCTGTAGCTCTGTGTAGGCTGTAGCGAGCTCAAGCTGACTTCACTTAGAGACCATTATATTTGGTTCTAGTGTAACGAATCCACGTAAGAAGCGTATTGGTGGGGAGGTCTTAGTTTTGTAAACAGGGAGTTCCCCATCTAATAGGTTAGTTATTTTGGTGTGAAACTCTTGATTTGTAGTAGGTGATATTAAATCCAATTCGGCTTTTGATGTCTCATCAAATATTTATGTGGGAGTATCCATATATAATTGTGGATTTACACGAGAGTAAGATAGACGGATAGATAAGGGGTCCTACCTATGACGAGAGCGTCATAGGATTGGATAGAGAAGAATGTAATAAATCTCACATCGAAAATGTATTGAAGAGATTTTGGGTTTATAAATGAAGGGAATCCCTGCACCTAATAAGTTAGTTTTTTTTGTATGAAACTCCTAGCCCTTAACACTAGCCATGAGCAACGCAAGTCTTCCCAATTTTGGATTTCAGATTTTAAAAAAAAAATGAAATGAAAAGTCTTTTCAAACAATTTTTTTTTATATTTCTCGAAAAATTATTTCTTTATAATACTATTTAAGTTTTTATGAATTAGTCTTTGAATACTATTTAAGTTTTTATGAATTGTTTTTTTATCACAAACTCAATGGTCATTATTCGATTTTATATTAATTAAATTATTTACAACAATCACTCTATATGCAATTGCAATTTGAAAATTTATATTCTACATAATTAAATAATTATTAAATCCAACAAAATCAAATCAAATCATTTGCCATGACTGTGTGATTCAGTATCTAACTCATAATTTATATAAGTAATTATACTACACAATTTTTTTTTCAGTTCCATTGGACTAGCTTGAAATAAATTCAACCCAAAGACACGTTTATCGTCCTAATATTTTTCAATTACTAGACAAACCTCCCTTCCCCATAAGATTTGTAATTTTTAAAAATTATATTTTATTCAAATCTTACTAATTATTGAAGTTATATTTTATATTTGAATTGACTGACAAAAGTTCTTCTAAACTTTCTGAATTATAAAAAAAAAAAAATTTATTTATTTATTTATTTTATGATAGAAGATGTTCGACAATTTGGATCAGTTTATGTGTACATCAACTAATCTTTCAGAATTCTAAAACTGTTGATTGAGTAAGAGCTCTAGTGGCTATCCCTATTAACAATTGAGGAGGGATTCGAACACAAAAAATCTCTTGAATAATGCATTTAAGAGTCACTATCGAACCACTCAATCACCCAAAGATAGTTAATTATAAAAAATTCTCCTACCAATAATTATTATATATTAAAATAAACGACAAAATGGAACAAATTTTATTCATTTATAATAATGTAATTTTTAATTATTTACTAACATAAGATGAATTTTTAATATTATATTAAACCTAGATGTTTTTGACATTAAATAGAATTATTATTAGTAAAATGGTCATTGTTGGTCACACGAGGGCGGAAATGTTTGGATAAAATGGTCAATTTTCAGTATACTTTCATGTCGAAATTATATAAACCAGTTTTTCTTATTTTATAATAAAAAATAATATCCCAGCCAATTTTGTTACATCAAATATATCGTTTTATTTGTTAATAAATAATTTATATAAAGTACTTTCTTATGGTTAATTACCTAATTGGATTGAACTATGCTATCAATATTTTAGAATTCATGAAAATCTCTTTATAACACTGAATTTGTGGAGGAAAAAAATTCCCATTACTAAAAAACACAGTTTTATACATAGCGTCAAAATTTGTAAATGATATCATAATTTCATAAGATAATAATGTGTAATCTAAAATATCTAGATGAAATGACCTGTTTTTGTGTCATTAGACACAATATATCATCTCTTTGTGTAAATATTTTAAATAGGTGCCTGTATAGTATATATCCAAACCCAATACATAAAACAATAATGGAGTAATCCTTTTTAATAGTGTCATTAACTTCCTTAAAATGTTACATATTGTTGATGAGAGATTTGGCACATTCTACATTTCGCACCAACTAGAATGTCGAGGTAAAATTTCACACCAGTTAGAGATACTCAGTGGACCTCTGAAGGAATTGAGTAAGATGAGTGCATAATTCCAGGGAATCAGCAAAGGTGACTCGATCCATGCATTGTGGTGATCAAGGCAATGGCATGCCTCCCAAAAAACAGTGTAAGAATTGAGCGCTTTTAAAGTGGTTCGGTCAGGGAAAGAATAAGGCCTACATCCGTTGATATGTTATTCGAGTGTATGATTTTTGGTTATAAAGAATGGATTTCCCCCGGTGGGTAAGGGAGGTATTTCCTTCTTCTACTCTTGGAATTAGAGTCTAGACTAGGAAAATATCATATTAGACCCTTTCCCTTTGAGTAATGTTATATTTACGCCACCCTTTACACAATTTTCATTACATCATGATATGGTATATATTACAATCACACAAATTTTTTATTATTTTGAATTTTTAACATTATAATAAAATTATTATTAGTAAAATGATCTTGGTGTAATGATAATTGTGTAAAAGGTAGTGTAAATGTACTATTACTCTTTTCTTTTTCTCTGTTTTTCTCTGTTGACTCTATTTATATAAGGACTTGGGAATGTCATAATGATAAATGCGTCAGTCGGATTATTCTATGTCGCGCGACGATGGAGGCTCACGTGCCTTTATGCCATAGAGAATGACAGTGTTTCCTCTGACGGTATGTGCCATTTACAAATCTTCTCTCAACTTGGCTCCATGGAGAGCATGAGAAGTTTGCATAACCATGTGTCGTCAATCAAGGTAGGTAGCTTATTCGTGGTAAGGTGAACTCTCTAAGTGAAAAGATATCTTCATGTGGTAGGCCTCTTTCTTGTCTTGTCATATGTTGTCCTCGCACATATGTGCTGATTGTTTGTGCTCTTCGTTGTTCATCTTCGCTCCTGAGCTTGACGTTCGCTCCAAACAAACGCATATAACGGGCTCGTCTACTGATCCCAAGTTGGAGATTTTTACCGCACAACACATATTTCAAAACAAATCTCAAAATTCATATCCTAGTAAAATGCATTATATTATTTAATATTGTCATATCATCTATCAAATCACCATTTCATTTATATCTCACATTATATATGATTTCAGGTAATTTGGGATAAAAATTTTGGAATAATTTTTAGGGTATGTATTATTATTATTATTATTTTGCTAATTGTTTGATATAAAATATACCAAACTTAACACATAAAACTCAAAATAAAAAATAAAATGTAGTAAAGTTAAGATTTTCTATGAATTTGGACTGGATCCAGGATAATTTTCAGTTTTTTTAAAAGTAAACAGTTCATATCAAGTCCAAATTATTGAGGCGTCGAGCCGTCGATACTTGAGTACTTGACATTCAGGTAAGGTAGACCATGGCCTATATTTTTCCATACTTAAAGCAACATATAAGCTGGCCCTTGCCAACGCTGAAAGAGTCCTGTTGCTTATAAATTTTATTTTTCTTGGTTAGCCAGATCACATTTATTTTCTTTGTCTGCTAGCCCACCAAAGTATGAGTGTGTCATTGTCATACTTTGACTCATCCCATAAATAACTTAGAAGGATCCTATTGGTAACATTATAATTTATAATGTAATTCTCATAATATATGACCATATATATTAGTTATGTTTTGATAACATGGAAATTAGTAAATATCAATAAATTATATATTTAATATAATTTGTATAATTTGTTATAATTTGTATATATTATTAAAACGTATTTAAAAAAGTGATTGAGAATAATTTTATAACAAATAATTTATATTTACAAGAGTATTTTAATTATGTCTATGATATCTATTAGGTTATTTCTTCTAATATTGTTTAACTGTCTGTTTGGTATAACTTGTTAAAATACAATTTATAGAAGAAAAATTTATAAAAATCTGGTTTTTATAAAAAAAAGTTTTTAATTGTTTGGTTAGAAAAATACAAAAGAGTTTTCTAGTGTTAAATTACCAAAAAATAGTTTTAATATGCAAGAATAAATAAAGTTAAATATATAGCATAAAATAAGGATTTTTTTTAAATTGGAAGACTTTAAATCACCTAAAAAAAGCTTATGAGAAAAACTCAAATCTCACAAACCCTAAAATAACTTATTTTAAATCTTATAAATGCTTTTCAAACATTACCAAACAACTTAAAAGAACTTCAAAATTGTTTATAACTTTAAATAATATATTTTGGCCATTAGATAAGAGCAGTCAAATAGACTTTAAGAATTTTATCCAAAAAAGTAAATTTTATTTATTTTAGCTGGATGTATAATACAAACAAACAAATATATGGAATAGTTTATGGACATTTAAGAAAATATAAATTATTTGAGTGTAATATACTAAATAACAAGTAAAAGGTCGATAATAATAATTTAAAAAGAATTAGGACTTTGTCTTCTGCAACGGTTATGAACCGAAGTTAAAATTAAAAGTAACAAGCAAGGCCAAATAACATCCTCCCTCCGATGTTTGCCCTAGAGACATGTCATGCCCAAAAAGTTTGAAAATGGCAAAACCACCCATTGCTGACAATTGTCGGCCTTTTGACTGCCTTTTGCCGGAATTCGCACCAATTGCAACAAATAAAAAGGCCCCAATCTTGATCTAAACCTTCCCAAGCCCTATTTGACTCTTTTTTTTTTTTGGCCAAAATTGGTTGGATTCATAGCCGGTCCCGACGTCGACAACCCCAACCACCACTACCCTTCGGCTCACCAAATTCTCCTCTACAAAACCCTTAAGCTCTCGGTCCCAACAACCCACCGTTCGCTGTCCGCCGCTTAATGCAATGTAGGGTTTGTTGCATTTTTTTGAAATTGATTGTTAAAGATTGTTGTTTGATGAAGTTGAAGTTCGAGGTTCGTTTGAGGGATTAATTAAAGTGTTTTTGTGATTGAATTTGGCCGAAAAACCCAACCATTCACCATCAATCATCCTCCCAGCCCAACCTGCCCACCAACCATTCTTGAAAAGGCCTCAG